TTTGCCCCGGTATAATTGCGATAATTACACTTGGATAGTGCTTAGTCCTGCTTTTTCGCAGAGTGCTGCAACAGCGCTCGCCTGGGCTTTGTGTCCAGGCCCTGCTTGCCGCTCGCCCGGCCGTGGGGCTGCGCTGGGGTCGGAGCAGCGTTGGGAGCAGCGTTGGGAGCAGCGCCTGGAGCAGCGCTGGGAGCAGCACCCGGAGCAGCGCCGGGAGCAGCGCCGGGAGCAGCGCCGGGAGCAGCACCCGGAGCAGCGCCGGGAGCAGCGCCGGGAGCAGCACCCGGAGCAGCGCCGGGAGCAGCGCCGGGAGCAGCACCCGGAGCAGCACCCGGAGCAGCACCCGGAGCAGCACCCGGAGCAGCGCTGCAGGACCTGGTGCAGCAGTGCAGGGGCTGCCGCCTGCAGTGGTGGCTGCTCTTGGCTTTGGTGACCACTAGCATAAACCCTCAGCCTCCGTTTCAACTCCATTTGCATACAATAAATACCAGCTTAATATGCACCCGCTCACGGTAAAACCTATTTTTATGTAAAACATGCAACTAGGTTAAGCAATTCTATAATGCTGCTTATCTTCCCACAGAGCTGTTTGTTTAAAACATCATTAGAGATGTTTAATTAGCTCGGTAACCGGCCTATTAACTTCYAGTGGCTTCTCTGCTCCAAGTGCGTCACCGCTGTCCGAAAGGGCCCCTGGTGTCCAGTGTGTTTCCACCCCAACCATGACCCCATACAGACCATGACCACAACCACAACCACGTCGCCATGCAAAACACGACCACGACCCCATGCAAACCACGACCTAATGCAAACCATGACCATGACCCCATGCAAATCATGACCAAGATCATAACCATGTCCCCATGCAAACCGTGGCCATGACCACAACCATGTCCCCACGCAAAGAACAACCATGACCATGACCCCATGCAGAGCTCAACTATGCATCCGCTTGCAGAGCACAACCCCATCCGAAGCACAAGCCCATCCTCAACCCCATGCAACACCGTGGCACGTGGCAGGGAAGCACGCGGCTGCCATCCCTCCACGAACGCCCTGCAGGAACYGCCAGGCAAAACTCCCTCTCGTTGTTCTCATATTGTTTTAATAGCAACATCAGAGTACTAAATATACACAGGGAAATCGGTACAGGGTCGCATTTACAGTGCTTTCCAAGTACACAGCTTTAAAGTACAGAGACAAATTAAAAACCACTCTGGAGTAAAGTAGCTCCCCTGCAAGGAATCACGGCCAGGTGCCTCCCGTCGGCTGCAGCCCGTGGGCGGCGTGGAAGGGTCGCGCGGGGGCCCGAGCGGGACGTCCCGGCAAGCCAGCGCCGCGCTCGGGGCTCTAGAACCACTTACAAAGGAAAAGCTGTCTTAGGTTAGAAAATGGTTTTTGGCAAAATAAAAATAAATTGTAAACTTCACTGTATATGTCCTATCAAACAAAAAAATACTCCCCTCAGAACCTAAAATAGAAGAATCTGGGTCAGAAATCTGTGCCTTAGTGTACGGGTTGTGCAACAGACACGTCTTCTCCAAGGAAATATTAGCTCCACTCATGACACTATTAAAAACGCACCTACAAATGCCGAGGGTTCCTAGAAAGTGAGAGGAGGGAGGGCAGAGCCGGCGGCCGCGGCCCAGCCCCGCTGGGGAGGGTCCAGCCACTCGGCCACACACGGGTGGGCTCAGTTACCGTACACGTATTTTTATCTATTTTTGTTTTTTTTTACAAAATATATAATATGTGTAGAATATCTACTATTAACTACCGTTTTAGCTGAACTACCTTTCTTCCAACAAGCTGCCCATGGAGAGGAGGTCACCCGAAGTCTCTCTTCCCACGCGGCACGCAGCTCCGCGGGCCGGGCCGCACCGCCCGTCCGTCTGCCGGGGAGCACGGAGCGGAGGGGACGGCTCGGCCGGAGCCCGGGCGGCTCCCGGCCCTGCGGGACCGTGTCCCGGGCCTGGGGCTGCTCGGCGGAGCAGCTTGAGCGTGAGGAGCGGCGGCACACGCGCAGCACGCGCCAAGCAGCAGTGCGGGGCAAGGGGCCGGCCGCGACCTTGCGGCAACCGGGCGCCACCACCTCCTCCGCGAGCTCCAGCTCCTGCCGGGGCGAAAGGGAGGGGAGAGGGCCCTGCTCGTAGGGAGATGGTCCCTGGGGAAATGGGGTTGCAAAAGCCTGTGAGTGACGCGTGCTGCACGTCTGCGCCCTCCGGAGCGCCACGGCGGACCCCGAGCTCGCCGGGAGCACAGAGCCTGCCAGGAGCACCGGGAGCACCAGGAACACCGGGAGCACCAGGTGCACTGGGAGCACCGGGAGCACGGAGTCTGCAGAGCCACCAGGCCTGCTGGGAACACGGAGCCCGTGGAGCCACTGAGCCCATCGGCAAGAGCCGGTGCTGGCGCAGCGGCCGCGTGAGCCCCGGGTGAGCCCGGCACGGGCTGCGGGCCGCAGGGCCGGGAGCAGAGGAGCCGGCCCTGCTGCTGCAGCCGCCGGCGGGCGCCGCGGCCCCGCGCACGGTGCAGCGGGAGAGACGCCGGCCGTGCAGGGCTGCCCCGGCGGGACCGTCCCTGCCTCCCCTCCGGGCAGCGCTGCCTGGCGCGGGCGGCACCGCGGTGCTCTGCTAAAGTGCAAGTGCTGTTGGTCCGTACAAGTGCGGGCGGGTTGGGCATGTGCTTGTGTCGCTGCTTCGCCCCTGGCCTGGCGCTCGCTGCCCATGCGTGTCCATTTGCAGGCGATGCAGAAGGTGGGAAGCTGCTGGGCTCAGCTGCGGTGCCGGCCCCGCGTGCCCCTCTCCTCCTGCGTGCCCTGCTCCTCCTGCGTGCCCTGCTCCTCTGCACAGGCTGCACCCTGAGCTCGGCCTGGGCCTCCGCTCGCTGCCCTGCCCCATCGCAGCCTCCACTACCCACCCTGGGCATCGGGGCCACAAACGCAAAACACACAACGATGCTCCGAACAAGGGGCTATGGAGTGGAAGACAACAACTACAGCGCTAAATCGCTATCGGGATTACGCTGGAGCACCCACAAAAAGTGCTCGGTGCAGCCAGCGGATGCACGTGAAGAACAAGGGCAGTGGGAGAAGCCCCATGGGCAGCTGCACAACTAGGAGCGGACTGGTGTGAAATGTAAAGCGGGGAGGGAAAATCCAAGCTCTGCGGGGCGGGAAAAATCCAAGCTCTGCAGGGCAAAGAGCAGGAATTGGGGGGGCCGCCCCAGCCCAGGGCAGGGCAGGGCAGAGCCCCCGCAGCACCGAGCCCTGCGCTGCACGAGGGGTCCCGCTCACGCCGCTCGCAGCCCTGGGCACGTCTGCATTACAGCAGTGCTGCTGATGTGCCGTGCTGATCAGAAATCGAAGCAAGGCGACCCACTGTGCTTTGAACGGGGCGTTCCCGAGCTCCACAGGGCCTCGGGAGCCGCCACCRCCCGTGTAACCACCCCGTCACCGCCAGCCTGCAGAGCCGGGCGCGGGAGCGCCCTGCGAGCCCCGAACCTGCGCCCGGCCCCAGGGCTGCAGCGGGACCGGCCCCTGCGTGGGCAGAAAGGCCCCACGGAGCCTCCCGGGGCTGCAGCAGCCGGGCCCACCAGGAGGGTTTCACCTCAGGCCACCTCCCAAGCCGGGGTCCAGCAGGAAGGGACTGGGAGCACTACAGAAACAAGGGACTGGATGGTGTCAGCCTCTTCTCTTGCTTTTGTTTCAATTGCACAGTCTTTCTGATAAAGGAATGGAGCTGAATGATCAGTGGCTTAGCAGAAATGCATATCTAAGAACCTTCATCAGGATCTTCCTATTTCTGAAGGACAGTTTACAAAAACAACTTGAGGACTTTGGTCTGACTTCTCGTTTACACTCGGGGCACTGCAGAGCAACATAAGCTCAAGACTCCCTTACCTGATGCTATGGTACGCCGTGTAAACCAAGTAGTCTGGATGCTTCAACTGAAAACGCGCGGGAAGCTGAGAGTGTAGCCACCACCTAGCTCTGCAAGCGGGCSCATGCGGGGCAGCCACTGCCCCCTCCAGGGAGGAGACAGCTTCTGAGAGAAGGAAAATCCCTGAACTCCTCCTGCAAGTCCTGCAGGGGCMGGAGCTCCAGCCTGCCCCGTGGCGCTCCTGCCCGCGCTCGCCCTCCCTGCACGGAGCGGCCCCGGTCCCGGCGCCCCGCTCGCCCTGCCCRCTGCCCCGGCCCCTGCAAGGCCTTCTCCATGTGAGCCCCACACCAGAGCCCTGTAACGCGTCCAGTGGCAGCTGGCGGCCTTGGCACGCTCAGGGTGTGAGCAGGACCCGGCAGAGCCCAGCAGCACCCAAGCCCAGGGCTGCCCGTCCCAGCAGGGCTGAGCTCTGGGGCTGCCCGTCCTAGCAGAGCTGAGCTCCGGGGCTGCCCGTCCCCGCAGGGCTGAGCTCCGGGGCTGCCCGTCCCAGCAGGGCTGAGCTCTGGGGCTGCCCGTCCTAGCAGAGCTGAGCTCCGGGGCTGCCCGTCCCCGCAGGGCTGAGCCCCAGGCTGCCCGTCCCAGCAGGGCTGAGCTATCCCTGGCTCAGCAACCCCAAGCTCTTCTCTCATGGGGCGGTGTGGGGGGCATGATAATATTTGGCTATTCTTCAGGTTTCGGTATATTCGGAATGCACTTTGTGAATTTGGCCCAGCTGCATACTTTAGCTGCGTTCCAACCCGTTTCCGCCCTGCGTGTGTTTCCGAGCCGCCCGCAGCACCGTCCACCCTCCCCGGGGAGCCCGGGACGCCCCGGCCAGGCGCTCCCGGCTCTGCTGCTCCCTCGGGCTGGAGCTGGGCACGCACAGCCGCCCGGGAACCCGCTGCCCACGGCCAAGGTCCGGTAAGGTCGCCACTAGTGGAAATGTACTTCCGAAACAGATATATATATATATATATATATCTCGTATACATACATATATATGTTATACATACACACACACACATATATATGTATATATGTCTATCTATATATACACATATAGGTTTGAGAGGCAAGCTGCCAAAGTAGAAAACATCCCTTTATCTAGTTCATATTATGCATGTTAAAGAAATTAGATTTTTAGCCCATGACATTTCTTTAAAAATGAGTATTTAAGATCGTCAAAAATTGCTACAGTACAAAAAGTGTTTGTGTGTGTATATATATTTTTTCTCTATATATAATATGTATGTATAGTGACAAGAATTAATGACTCTACCAGGAGAGATGCCACCCCACCCGTTTCCTCTAACATCTCTATGTGTTATTGACTTAGCTTCGGCTTCTCGTGAAGTCTTTGCATCAGTACATGGCACATAACGGTATTATTGGCACAGGTTCAAATTCATAGTCCGTATCCCAAGCTCCAGGCGTTCGGTCCTGTCCTTTTTTCCTCCTCGTTTTCCTCCTTCTTCACAGCATCCTTCGCTCGCACATTTTTTTCTCTTCTCCAAAAAATGCACTCCTTGAAAAACGCAGTTACCTATAGGCATGTTCATTTCTATAAAAATATATTTGGCCCATAGATGCTGCTCTTTGAGTCTCCTACTGGTGGACACAAATGGGAGGTACAGGAAACCCATTAGTATTTTTTTACAGGTTCGCCAGAGGAATCCTGTTAAGGACRAGAAGAAGAGCAGAGGTTAAGGCAAGCGGTCTCCACGGTGGCCGTCAGAYGCGCGCCCCGGCTCCCGGCGTGCGCGGGGGCCGCTTTGGGACCCTGGGGTGGCTGGGTGGCTCTGGGGCACCCGTTGAGCWCCGCAGGGTGCCTTTCAAAGCGTGTCCTTGCACCTGGGAGCTTGGCGCGCTCAGCCTGAGCGCCGTGAGTGCTGCGGCCGCTGAGGGGACGAGGACGAAGAGGATTCCTAAAGCTAAAAGCTCGGCGGCTGCCCCAGGGGCCGTGCGAGCGCCCCGCGCCGCCCCGTTCCCAGCGCGGATCCATGCAGGACTGGGCGCCTCCAAAGAGAGAAAAGCCTCCACAGTTGTTAAGCCCTAATTAATTACATGTTCAGCGCTAATTGATGCTTCCCCGGGGACAGAGGCCGTGCCACCATGGCTGTCCCCGCGGAGGCGCAGGGGCGGGCAGCGCCATCCCCAGCGTGACGCGGGCGGCGCGCAGAGGGCCACGGGTGGCACTCGGGGGGCTGCGCCGGGGGCCAAGCCGGACCCAGGGCACTTCCCAAACCAGCTTCYTGCCCCTGCCCAGATCCGCAGTGGCTCCTGAGAAGAGAAGCCCGGGGCAGCCGTGCCGCGCGCTGCCGAGCGGCCACCCTCCCGGGGCCGGTGCCGGAGCTGCCAGCCGCAACGCCACACGCTCCCACACCACAAACCTCACCCTCCCAAGCCGCCGCTCACTCCTCTAGAGCGCTGCGCCACATTTACATAGTTCTGCATGAATGCTGTTTATTTAGGACGTAAAATTTATATTGTGTTACAAATAGCCTCCTTCTGCAAAGTAGGTCAGTGCTGGAGCTACCTTACAGGTTTTTTGCATAATCCTCTCTTATTACTACTCATATTTTAAGGCAAGGAGGGCGAGTGGTCTGGCTCAGGGACAAGATGAGCGCGAGCTGCCTGAGCGCGGCCTGGGAAGCCGGTGCCAAGCGCTGCCCATTCCCACCCCAGCCTCCCCATGGACCCTCCTTGCCCCACTGGGCTGCTGGAGCCTTGGCCAGGGCACAGCCCCGGGGTCGGTGGCTCCTGCACCGTGTCCCCCTCTGCCGYCTGCTGCCCTCGGCCCCCGCGGCCTCCCTAACCCCCGGGCAGGAGGTGCGAGGCAGCTGCTGGTGCCAGGGCTGCACGGGGCGCTTCAGCGCTCRCTGCGCGGTGCCCACGGGCGGTTCCTGCTGCCAGCCCAGCCTGCCGGGCTTGCCAGGACRGGCGACCCGCGGCTGAAGGCAGCGGCGCCTCCGGGCAGCCTTGGCACAGGCAGCGGGTGATGGGGCAAACACCGCCCGGCCGGAGCGTCTGCAGACGCCCTCGTGCCCGCTGTAGTCCTGGAAGCCTCATGCTTGAGCAAGCAAGCTCAAGGAGCCCGAGCTCCTCAAGCAAGCTCAAGGAGCCCGAGGAAGCTGCAGGGAGGAAGGCTGGAAATTTCATTCTCACTGAATTTATGATTTGTTACAGCAGGGACCTGGGACAGAGCAATTAATTCACCTGAGCACATGGCTCCAAGTGGCACTGCTGCCCTACAGTAGAACGCCACGTATTCACCCTAACTGCTTTAGTGCTGCTGCTCTGTGCGGTGACGCTGCCGAAGGCAGACGAGGAGGGCCAAGTTTGGGCAGAGGACACGCGGTCCCTGCAAGGAGGTGGCCTGGCCATCACGCAACAGGCGGGCAGGGGAAAGGAGGCCKCTTTGGGGCACTGAATCACAGATCRGCTGAGGTTGGAAGGGGCCTCAAGGGACCATCTAGTCAAAGTCGCTGTCATCTGGCGCGAGAGGTGATGAGCTTGAGAGGGGGCTGGAGCAAAACTGYGCGTTAGTTCCCTGCAGCGCAAGGGTCAGGGCACCCATCGCCGGGCACCCATGCCCACCTGAGCTGCTGGCACACCCCTAAGGCAGCTGCACGAGGAAAGCTTTTTGCTGCCAGCACCCCGGTGCCACGGCCTCCTGGTCAGCTGCAAGGCAAAGCCCCCTGGGCAGCGCGGGGACGGGGCGGCCTCACTGCCTGGGGCTCCCCGGGCACCGGCGCATCGCGCAGAGCTCTGAGCGTGGTACCTACCAGGAAAGAGCTGCGTGGCGTCTGTCCTGCCCCCGCGAAGTCAAACAGGCTTCGGCCAGTCAGCAGGAGATTTCAAACCATTTCTCAGACACAAAGGCCACAGGAATAAGGTGCCGATCAGAAGAGGAGGGTCTGCAGCGAGCAGAAAGAAGGGCTTGCATGGACTGGTACGTGACACAACAGGCAAGCCTAGCCAGGCCTGCTGSGAAACGGAGCTTTTTGGTGCAGCCTGCGCCTCCACCAGCCACGGCTGCGCTCGCGGTGCGGCCGCTCCTCAGCTGCCACTTAGGAGGCAGCACGGGAATTSGGGGGGATGGATGCAAGGTGCCTTTCTGGCTGCAGGGAACTAACAAACAAGCAGCGCAGACGCTCCGGGGCTGGAGAGTGCATCCGTGGGGCTCGGAGCCAGCGGCAGCGCTGCCGCTGCAGGGACGCGAGCTGTGTGTGTCCCGCCCGTGCCCAGGCCTCCCGGGACGGGCTGCACACGAGCAGGGCAGCRCCAGCCGCGAGCCGAGCGGCTGCTGGCGGGCGGCACCTCGGCGGCCGCGGGGCTGCAAAGCCCCCAAAAGCCAGCGGGGCCACCCCCGTCCCCACGCAGCGCGCAGAGCTGGCAGGCGCGCGGCCGCCCCTCGTACCTGTTCCCGTTGAAAGCCGTTTTGTAGGCGCCCGGCGAGTGCAGCGCCTCCTCCGTGTAGAGTGGCACGGGCGTCCTCACGCACTCGTGGGAGCACTGCAGCGTCTCGTTGTAGGCCGTGAAGATGTCCAGGCTGCTGGGCACCCGCGCGGGGGTGAAGTCTGTCAGATTCTGGCAACTCTCCTCCTGCTGATTGATCTTGCGCTGGTGGCTGTTACGCCTCGTGTTCCCGCTCTGCACGCAGCTGAGACGGCAAGGGGGAGGAAACACAGCACAAAATGCATCGTGGCACTTGAAAGGGGAACCGCGCTGTCGGCCATCAATTATGCATTGTGCAATATTAGGTAACAATTCAGCCTCTTTGGAAAGATCAGCCACGATGGAGCAGTCATTTCTCTTTGCTTATTTTTCTTAATGATCAAATTTAAAATTTAAACATAAGCTCTTTACTACCAGAAGAATTACTTAGCAAGCAATGGGTTCCTATCTGCAGGAAATGAAAGCTTTCAAATGAAGGGCTGGGGATGAGAACAACAGAGTTAAACCCCTTCTCTCCGGGAGGCATCGGAAAGGTCTGGAGCTCCAGGAGGAGCCACTTCCGAACCCCCCCGATGCTCCTTGCCTTGCGGTGCCCCCAGCCCGGCTCGTGCGGGCAGGGTACSCGCGGCACCGGTCCAGCCCGCTCATCCTGGATGCTCGTGCGACCCACGGGCGCTGCCCCTGCCCACCGCTCTGCTCTCCTGCTCTGGCTCCACGAGCGCTGCACCGGCCATGGGGCGGGAGCCTGAGCGCACCCAGCGGGCCGGGCCGCCGCGCGCTCCGCTGACCTCAAAGCGGCCGCTCGCTCCGCGGAGACAGGTGAGGCCCGAGCGCCGGCAGCTACACGCTAACCTATTTAGCAGCCGCTCAGGAGGCCAAATGAGGGCAAGCGGAGGCAGGGCCAGGCCTGCGTGCCCRGCGCCGCGCGCAGCCGGGTGCCAGCACGGGTCTCACGGGGTCCCTCCACCTCTGATGGCAGAGCTGGGTCTTTGGTGGGGCGGCGATGCCCAGGAGGGCGCGGGGCACCCCTGCTCCCCCGGCTGCTGCTGCCAAGGGCTGGGGCGCGTCCCACGCTGCTCCGGATGGTGCCATGCAGCAGCCGAGCACCGAGGCGGCTGCGGGATGGGCTGGAGAGGGTCCTCCACGTGCACGGCCGGTGTTGGAGCTCCCCCCTGCCCTGGGGACAGCAGCGTGTCCCCAAGCGCCCATGCCAGGCGTGGTTGGTATTGGGGCTCCCCCCTGCCCTGGGGACAGCAGCGTGTCCCCAAGTGCCCATGGCAGGCGTGGTTGGTATTGGGGCTCCCCCCTGCCCTGCGGACAGCAGCGTGTCCCCAAGTGCCCATGCCAGGCCCCAGCGTGCCCGCCAGCACTGCCACCCTCGGGCGCGCGCCCCGGGGCACCTTACCAGTTCTTTAAGACAAGAGTCGTTATCAGAGCAGCTATGACCATGATGAGCGACACCGTGATCGTGATTATCTGATGAACCGCCAGACCTGTGAAGACAAAACCACAGCGGCTGGAGAGGGGGGCAGCGGGACCTGCTGGAGGGCACCCCGGGACAGCCCCGCTTCGGGGCAGCCGGGCGCCGAGTCCACCGGCACGGCAGTGCCCTGGGAACCCTCCCGTGCCCCACCAGGCCACCGCGGTCCCACGGGGCCGGCGAAGGCGCGTGCAGCCCGTGGGGGCCGGGCAGCGCCGCTTCGCCCTTGGCCCGCGGAGTCGCGTGTGGGAATTAGGGGACCAAGTGCTGCTCGCTGAGGAGGTCGCCTGGGCTCATCTGCTCCTTGTTCACCTTACGCAGGGTGTAATTTTGGCTCGCGTATCGCTCCTAATGAGCAGTTTGAAAACAAAGGCATCTCCGTGTACAGTACGTCTGTGATTTCTGTGCTGCTTTACAGTTGCAATTTTGTAATGAAATGATTTTCCTGGCGGCAGCCCAAGGATGTGCTGTTTTTCACCAACATCTGTGAGAGCTCCTGATGGATGGGATTTTTTAATAAATAAATAAGCGCTGGTGTAAGGAGAGGAAAACAAGCGCTGCCCTGCGGGCGCGTGGGCGCCGAGCTCGCGGGGCCTYCCGCCGCGCCGCCCAGGCGCGAATCAAGGGCTCTGCAATGGGAGTCTTGGCACTTTAATAGAACAAAACCAAGGGCACCTTCGCCCGGCCCGATTCCCCAGCAGGGCCGCTGCCAGCGCGCGCTCGAGCAGCGGGAGCCCCGGGGYCCCAGCGGGAGCGCGGTGCCCACACCAGCCTCTCGGGAGTGCGGCCGCTCGCCCAAACGCGTCGGGATGAGCAGCGACGGCGAATGGCTCGCTTGGGAGCTCCCCGGCGCGCTTGGTCCCCGCGCAGCGCGGGCGGCCGCTCGCAGGCTGCCAGCCCCGCGCCGCGGAGCAGGAGCGAGACGGAGAGATGAGTCAGGGCTATTTTTCTCCCTCGACTCAAGCACCTATTTTGCAAATGACCCATTTCCTTCATTTACTCCCAATTACATTGCAGTTGGTTCAAACAAACTGTGACAAGGTTCCTCTGGAGAGCACTTGGCAATAAGAGCTGCCAAAACAAGAGAGGGTCGTGGCAGCGGAGTGCAGTGCGTGGCAGCGGAGCCAGCGCGCTCCAGCACGGCACAACGCTGCGCGTGGCCGCGGAGCCAGTGGCGCTCCCGCAGAGCCAGCGCGCTCCAGCACAGCGCAACACAACGCGCTCCGACACAACGGAACGCAGCATGCTCCAACGCAACGCAGTGCGCTCCCGCACAGCCAACGCGCTCCAACGCAACGCAACCCGCTCCAACACAATGGAACGCGCTCCAACGCAACGCAGCGTGCTCCCGCACAGCCAACGTGCTCCAACGCAATGCAACCCACTCCAACACAATGGAACGCGCTCCAACACAACGCAGCGCGCTCCCGCACAGCCAACGTGCTCCAACGCAATGCAACCCGCTCCAACACAATGGAACGTGCTCCAACGCAACGCAGCGCGCTCCCGCACAGCCAACGTGCTCCAACGCAATGCAACCCGCTCCAACACAATGGAACGCGCTCCAACACAACGCAGCGTGCTCCCGCACAGCCAATGTGCTCCAACACAACACAACGCGCTCCAATACAACGCATCACGCTCCTGCAGAACGCAGCGCGCTCCAACACAACACAAGGCAGCGCAGGGTGCAGGCAGCGTAACCCCAGCGGCGGCTCCACACAGCCCTCCTGTGCACACGCAAGCCTGGCCYCGCTCCCAGTGGGACACTGCCAAAAAGGATGGAGAGGAAGAGCCCAAAATAAACGGAAAGGGCCCCGYGCCGCCTCCTCTGAGAACACAAGCAGCTTCGCTAGCGTGGCCCGCCGCGCAGCCGGGAGCGCAGGAGGGAGCTCGGAGGCCTGCGAGCGCTGGCGCGCGGGGGAGCGCCGGCGGGCAGCGCGGTGCTACGAGGATGGCAGATCYGGGCGGCACACGCACATTTTAGGAAGGGCCGGGTAATTTCGGCTCTGTCACATACGCAAGCTGCCATATGCGCTAGGAGGGACGTGTCGCGCTCCGCCTCCCCCGGCCGCTTCCACACGCGGAGCAGGAGGATCTCGGCGCTCGCACGGATTCCTCCGCAGCCCTGAGCCCAGCAGCGGTCCCGGCAGCCCTGAGTGCGGCTGTGGGGCACCCAGGGAGCCTCTTCTTGCAGCGGATGGCTCTGGCAGCTCCCGCAGTGCGTTGGTTGCCTCAAGGCGGAGGCTCGGAATGTGGCAGCCCTCGCACTCCCACCGGGCGCCTCGGCCCGCGGTGCCCACAGCAGCCCTGCTCTTCCAGGAGGCTTTGCCCTGCGGAGCCGCCTTCCCGTGAGACACGGCAGCTCCCGCCTGGCTGCCCTCCAGAGCGGCGCCTCTGCCGCCCGGCAGCCTCCTGCGCCATCCCGCAGTGCTCCAGGACGGGAGCGCCACGAGCGTCCCGCGGCGAACAGTGCCCAGCTGCCCTTCCCGTGGCGGGGTGGAAGATCCTGCAGTCTCTCTACCTGCCTCCCGGCCTAACAGCGAGTCCTTAGCAGAGACCGCTCCCCCAGTGCAGGGTTCCAGACCCAGAGGCAACAACGGGGTGCTTCTTGTGCGCCACAGCCAGTATGATRTGGTGCGGCTGTGGCACAGCGCACCATCAGCACCGGGGTGCAGAACCCGGCTGCCTTCCCATTGTGCCAGGAATCACTGGCTTCGAGCTCCCTCTTCGGCTGCGCGAGCACCACATTCCTGCCTGGGGAAGGAGCTCGGGAGAGGCGATGTCCCTGGTTCTTCCATGTGCAGTAGGGCTGCGTGGGCAGTGCCGCAAGGTCGCTGCTCAGCAAGCGGCACCGGAGCCACGGGCAGGAGAGCGCCGCAAAGCCGTGCTGCCCTGGAGAGCTCCCGCTGCCGGGCTCGGGAGCGCAGCCTGMCGCTGCTCGGAGCCTCCCTGCCAAGGGAGGATCCCGGAGGCTCCGACACTGGGACTTGCGAGGTGCCATGGCGGGTACTGCCAAGCAGCAGCCGCTCCTGCGAGCAGTGCAGGCGCTTCTTGCTCACTTAGCCGCGCAGGGGGAAGGCGCACGCACGCGCTGCCATCTGCGACGGCTGGGGGGAAAATCCCTTCTCCCTTGCCAGAACAGCCTGCGCTTCCCAGAACGCTCACGGCTCGGMGCGCAGCGCCGTGCAGAGCCACGGGACGCTGCCCCAGGCCAGGGAGCTGTGCACGGAGCCTCGCTCCCCGCTCCCAGCCCTCCTCTGCCCTCCCTCTTCCCAAGGCCAGAGTCCGCAGCAGATCCCGGCATCTCGGCAAGTGGATGCAAGAGGGAGCTCGACTGCAGCCGCCCAGGGATTTCTCTTAAACACGTCCTGTCTTTAATGAATTCCCCTGGAGCCGCCACAGCCGCTCACGCTGCGCGCCCCGCGCCGCCTCCCCCGTAGCACGGGCGCCTTCGGAGCCGGGCAGCAGCCCGTGCCCCGCCAGCRCCCGGTCCCCTCACAGGCGCAGGGAGGGGGCGCAGGAGAGGGGCGGCCGCAGCCCCGCAGCCCCGCGCAGCGAGGCCGCCTCCACAGCCCCGCGCCGCCCTCCCCGCTCAGAGGCTCCGGCAAGGCCGTGCCGAGAGCCCGGAGCAGCGCCTTCCCGCACGGCGTGGGCACGACGTGGGCTGCGGGCGCTCTGCACGGCCACAGGGCACCGGGGGGATCATGCCCCGCGCCGGCCCCGCCGCCGAGCCCCCGGCACGCAGCCGCGCGCGCCAAGCCAGCCGTAACCGAATGGCTCCTGCTGCTCATTTGTTTGTTTTCTGCCTGCGTTAAAAATAATCACTTTTCTCTTCTCTCTCCTACCTAGCAGCAGAACCTTTTATATCGCACAAGATTTTTTAAGCTTGTTTTTGTTCCTCAGTGAGTCATAGATAAATCGCTCTGTCTCTTTTCCCTCTGTTCTTCAGCGAGGAAGAGCGGGGGGAGACGCCGATGCGCATGGCGGGGCGCGCTCGGGCGGCTCGCGGCCCCGAGGGAGCCCCATCCCGAATCCACCCCGCTGAGCTGCCGGGGCCGGGCGAGCTCTGGCGCACGGGCAGCGGAGCATGCCAGGCACCGCTTTGCCCGCGCCGGGCTCGTGCTGCCCTCAAAGGAGGCTCTGCCGCCAGGGCCGCTGTAACAGCGGTGCCTCCCTCGCCTGCCCCGCGGGCTCCCTGTCCCTGTGTGCGCAGCGGTCCCGTGTGCCCGCGGAGCCCAACGAGCAGAGCAAGTTGCCTACCGTTCGCATGCAGCCCTTGGCTTCCCCRAGCGCAGAGCGAGCCCTGCAGCAGCCCGGCCCCCGTGGATTCAGGATTGGGCTCCCTCCACTCTCAACACCTTCCTTCTGCTCGCAACTGCTCCACGGGGGGATGCTGGAGAAGCTAATGGTGCTTAAGATCGGATCATCACATTTTTTGGTTCTACCAGAAAATCATTGTGGGCTAAAAGCAGTCAATGCACAGTGAGTAAATCCTGTAAACTCTAATATGAGCACCCCACRGTTCAGCACCGGTAAGAGCAAACACAATTTGAACTAAGTGGGAAGCTGCTTTCCTGTCCGTGTCCGCACAGCAAATGGAGCTGGTGGAACACATCGGAGGAGCAGAGCGCTGCGCCCAATTTGATTATGGAAGATGGCTGTGGATGTGCCGCGATAATAGGGAAAACACAGTAAGCTGCTAGAAAGCGTCCCTAGAAAACCCAACGAAATGGAGCTTCCATTTGGTTCCGAGTGCTGTGGTTTAGGAGTTGATGCTACTGCTGGGCAGCCCTCCCTCCCTGCGAGCTGCAATCAGCCCCTCCAGCGCAGGACCGTCACCGCTCACCGGTAGCTGCAGGAGCTGCCGCCAGCCCCCGAGCCCCTCCGGGTTGCTGCTCCGCCGCACAACAAAGCCACACGTGCCTCGGGGACACCACGAGGCCCGGGGACCCCGCGGGGGCCCCGCAGCTCCTCGCTCGCAGCGCCAACAAGGCCACTGGGGCCGTGTTCCCCCGTGCCGCGTTCCCTCGTGCCGCGCATGCCCTGCRGCAGCCGCGCTCCTGCGCGGGGTTCCTGGCACGGCAAGCGCTGCCGGAGGGCGCTCGCTGCCCTCTCCTAGTCGTGCCGGATAAATTATTCACACTGAACACGGTGAGGAGAGGACACCCCACCGCTCTGCTAGCAAGCTGCTCGCTTACAGAAACTCCCTGCACTGGGGCCGGTGGCCAGAATCACTGTGCGGGTTAWTGGGAACCTGGGAACTTCCCGCCTGGGAAGAGGCTGCGCAGAGGGTGCCCGCAGTGCCAGACGGCTCCGCTCCACGTGTGCCGGTCACCAGCTGGGGCAGCCCGGGCTCCGCGGCAGAGCCGAGTGGACGCAGTCGCCCTCCGCATTCCCCGGCCACACACCGGTCCCGGCGAGCGGGACGTGCAGCTGCAACGTGCGGGGGACGTGAGCAGCAGCGCAGACAGGGTCGCCCCGGCGGCTACGTGAGCCCGTACAGACCCTCACAGCGCTCCCCTGCGCGCCGCACGGGGCAGCCCACGGACAGCACCCATTTGCTCGGGGTCAGGCCCTCTCCACGCTGTGCTCCCCACTGTGGAAGCAGAGCCGAAGCACCCACACCTTCCCYGGGGTGAGAGGGAGTATTTCAGGCAGCGCCACTCACGAGCCCCAGGGAACAAGGGAACCCTACCTGACGTGTCTCCCAGGATGCGGGGCGGCCGGGCCTCCTTGCCGTTGCCTCCGGGGCCATCATCGGGCTCGGTGGTGCTCCCGCGGCCGGGGTGGCTGCCGCGCGTGTCCCCCGCCGGGCTCGGGGGCGGCCCCTGCGGCGGCGGCGCCGCGGTGGAAGGGGCGCTCGTGGTGGTGGCGGCGGCCTGCGTGGCAGCCCTGGTCTGCCAGGCCGAGGCGGTGGTGGCGGGGCCGAAGCGCGCGGGCAGCGTGCTGGTCTCCACGGAGTCCTCCTCGCCCGTGGGGCCCCACACGATGACTTCGGGCACCGCGGTGGCCCTGCCGTCCCTCTGGCGGAAGGCGCCACCTCGCAGCTGCCTCCTGGCGCGGGCAGCGCGGGGCTGCGGGCGCCGGGTCGCTGCCGCCCGCAGGCCGCCCGCTGCCCCGCTCCTGCCACGCCAGCGCGGCCCCTCGGCGCGAGCGGGGCCCTGGCTCCAAGCGGGGCCGGCGACGCGCAGCTCCCTGGCGCTCCACCAAGGGCCGGCGGGCAGGCGGTGGCGCGGCGCGGGCCTCTGCGTCAGCCGGTCGCCCTGGCGCGCGGCTAGCGCCTCGCAGGCRGCCCAGTCCGAGGCTAGCTGGAACATGGCTATTAATATCCAAGCATGGCTTCCTGCCGGGCAGCCTGACCTGCGGACAGACATGGAGGGCATTAGTGCGGTGGCAGGGAAGTGGGGCGCGGAGCACGCGAGGAGACAGCACTTGTGCCAGCGCGGGGAGAGCCCGCACCCCGGGCRAGGGGACACGAGGGAGTCACCACGGCCCACGGGGAGCCAGCCCGCACCCSGAGCAAGGGGATGCAACGTGAGAGAGCCGCTATAGCCCCCGGGAAGCCGGCCTGTACTCCGAGCAAGAGGAGGCAATGCAAGGAGCTGCTATGGCCCACGGGAAGCCGGCTCAGCCCCGAGCAAGGCCAGCACAGAGCCCTCGAGCGCAGCCCGTCCTCCTGCCGAGCCTCGTTTGCCAGGGGTGGCGGAAGCAGTGAGGAATGAAGTGCAAGACGTGGTACCTGCTTTTACCTGCTCTTACTTCTTTTTTTATTCCTGCTCTTTAGCAGGTAAATTGAAGAGCTGGAAATCACTCTGAACTGTCAGCAGCTTAATTATTTCAAATTTTGCTTTGATCTAAAAAGCTGTTATTGCTTCATGTCAAATCACTCTTCCCAGCTGCATTCTCTTTGTGAAGTTCTCCTCTAGCTCTCATCCTTCCCTGAAATTTACCGTCAGACAAAATACAGTTTTCCAGGGTATGGAAATGCTCGGGATACAAATCTCCCTTTGTTTCTTTTCTCAGCAACAATCATGGGGCCAAATCCCGAGCAATCCTCCCTGCGACTCCAGGGAAGGACACTGGGCCCCAGCCCGCCGGGAAAGGCGGCCACCCCGCGGAGCTGCTGCTGCTCCCCAGGAGAGCCCGGTCCCGCCGGCATGGGGCCAGGAGCATCGCTTCCTGAGGAGGACACGCACACGGGCTGGCCTGTGGCCGCTCCAGCGTGTCGGGCCTGAGTTCAGCTTTGCCCAGCTCCTTAGCACAATGTGAAATTCCTCCTGGCGAGAAAGCAGGTGCCACACGGTTCAGGAGCGCGCCCTCGTGCTACGCATGCGTGCACACACACATGCCCAGAAAGGCGCTCGCTGCTCGCTGGGTTCTGCACAAGAGCACGGGGCAGCCCCTGAGCGAGAAGGCAAAGGCAGTGGGCAGCAGGGAGCGATCCATGTCGCTGCCGCGGGGCGACAAGCAGYGCTCGCGGCAGCGCCTGCCCCGAGGACCCTGTGGGCGATGGGGCGCCTGCCCTCGCTCGCTGCGGTGCCCGCGGGGCGGCGGGCGCCCTCCCGGGCACGGGGGCAGCCCCGGGAGCCGCTCCCAGCGCGGCCGCCTCGCGGGCGGGCAGCGGCGCTCGCGCGGCCGGCGGAGGCCCCCGCGGCGGCAGCGACGGGCGAGTGTCCTTCACAATAAATAGCAGCGAGTGGGAGTTGCCGTTGTCTGGGCAACGCGGCGGTGGCGCCTCGGCCGCAGCGGGGGTGCTGCGGCCGTGGGAAGAGCAGCGGCAGCAGGGACACCCTCCTCCTCCTCCTCGTCCTCCTCCTCGTCCTCCTCCTCCTGCTCGTCCTCATCCTCGCCCTGCTGCAGCGCTGCCCGCCTGCCCGCCCCGGCCTCCCGCGCCCCTTGAGGGGTCCGGGCCCTGCAGGTGCTGCTGGCAGGAGGGTGGCAGCCCACAGCGGGCTCGCAGGGTGGGCCGTGCCAGCCCGGGGCTGCCCACACCGCGGCTGGGACCCACATCCACCATGGGGCTGCCTGTGCCACAGATGGGACCTGCCCCTGYGCCAGGGCTGCCTGCACTGCAACTGGAAGCAACTGTCCACCTGGGGCTGCCTGCGCTGCAGCCAGGACCCGTGCCCTACCCGGGGCTGCCCAGTGCCCTGCAGCCTCTCCAGGCCTTGGAGCCTCTCCGGGCCTCCAAAAACACCAAAACAGGAGCAGCTGCTCGCGCCTCGGGATGCCTGAGCACAGCAGCTCCGCAGGCACCACCAGAACCTCACTATTTAGGTGGCTCTTCAGAGACTTGGGTCCCTTGGGACGCGCGTCAGCTGCTGTCCATGAGACACTGCTCTCCCCTCCGCCATTGCACRGCGTGACCAGCTGGAAGGCGAGGCAGGAACACGACCCGGGCTCGGCCGACAAGCCCCTTCCTGCCACACGGCCCCCCTGCAGCCTGCCACAATGCTGTGCAGCGCCGAGGAGCGCTCCCCACACACAGAGYACCCAAAGGGTGCCCCGCGTGGGGGCCAAGACGCGGGCAGTGTCGGCCCTTCGTTGCCCCTCTTCAAACCCTGCTCCTCCTGCGCAGGGCCTGGCAGGAGGCCCCGCACATGCAGCTGCAGCCCATGCCCGGCCRCCCACCTGTGCGTGCACTGCGGTACACCCACACGTGCATACAGGTAAGRGCAGTGGTCGAGCTGCCTGGGGACAGCGGCAGGGGCACCAGCCCGGGGACAGCACTGGCCGTCACTGCAGGTGAAGCTAGAGCTGCACCCCAAGAGCGAGCAGCCCCATACAGACCAGGCTCATTTCCACAACTCCTGCTCGGCAGAGACTGGAGAAGGAGGGAGCTTCTCCTGCACTTTATAATTAGTGGTGAAATTGGAGTGTGGCCGTACGGCAGAGGYGCCGCTTCGGGGGCTGAACACTTGGGTAATTACATGGCTCTCATGTCGATTTTAATGAGGTTTCTCCTGAGCCAGGCAGCGCGGGAGCCGGTGTCTTGTGTGGCCGGCAGGAGGAGCAGGACGGTGCAGGACACGGTGCCAGGGACACCGGTGACAGGGCACGGAGGGAGGGCGGGCACGAGGGGYGCCCAGTGCGAGCAGAGGGCAGGAGCGCCCCGCGGCGCGGCCCTGCGCACAGCGCCCTGCGAGCCCCAAGGGTGACAGAGGAAAGAGCGGGACGGGGCTCGCTGCCACCGCGGCCTCCGCTCCACATCAAGGTCGGCAGCACCGGCTCTTGTCGCCCTCTCCTTTACCTGTGCCCTCCGTCGGGAAGGGGTCGGCTTTCCGTGCGCTCGCAGGCGGGTTCACACGTGCCACTAGCAGCCGCAACGGGAGCCCGAGCCCGCAAGCRGCACCGGGGAAGCCGGGCTCCCCGAGCAGGACGCTGGGGCCGCCTGCCCCGAGGCCTCCGCACCGGCCCCTCGGCTCTCCCGGGGGAGCAAAGCTCCCCGCGCCCGGGATTCCCAGAGGCCCCGCGCCGCCCTCCCACCCAGCGCGGTGGGCAGCTCAGCATGGCGCACAACCGGCCCTGGTCCCTGCCTTCCTGGCCAACAATGGGGAGCCGCACGGAGCGCCCAGGCACCAGCCCGGCCACCACCGCGGCTCGGACACCCCTGCCCCTCGAGCCACCGAAGGGAGCTCGCCCAGAAGGGCGATGGCGAGCAGGGCCCCGCGGGCGTCCCGCCGAGCAGGCGCTGCCCTGGCTGTGGCAGCAGGGAGTCCCCGCGGGGCGGCCCCGGCGGCGCCGCAGCCCCCCGCGCTCGCACCGCAGCGCCCCGCACTCGCACCGCAGCCCCCCGCGCTCGCACCGCAGCCCCCCGTGCTCGCACCGCAGCGCCCCGCGCTCGTGCCGCGCGGCTCGGCCAGCCCGGCTCCCTCCCCAGTCTCCTGGCAACCGGCTGCACGTCCCCGCAGCCTGCGGCAGGGCCGCCGCGAGACCTCTCGCCTCGCCGACAGCCCAGATGCATCGCTCTCCAGCCCAAGTTTAATGGCACCATTACCCAGGGCTTCATTTCCTGGCAGAAATAAAAATGCATAAATATTTAGTCATTTGTTTCTCCTCTCGTTTCCCCTTCTCTTTCYGAAAGGGGCAATTCAGACATCAGCAATAAATATTCACCAGTGAGATTAAAGCCCTTTGCCAGGCGCAAGGAAGCGCAGGGGGAGGAACGGGCTCGACACAAGGAAGCTGGAGCACGGGGGTCTCCAAGGGCCGCTGAAGAGCCCCGCGCCCGCAGGATGCCGGGGTGCAGGGAAGCGGCCACGTGGCTCTGYGCAGCGCCGAGCTCCTGCGGGCACTGCGTGGGCAGGGGTCCTGCTCCGCTCCGCAGAGCCTCCGCGCGGCCCCCCTCATCCTCACTCCCCTGCCCCGGCTCTGCACGGCGGGGACGCGCCGAGCGCAGCGCGGAGCAGTGCAGGCGCCTGCACGGAGCGCGCGGCCRCTCTGCCTCCAACGATACGTTTGAAAATTTTCCCCAGTATGAAAATCCCCTTTTAAATCCTTTCAAACACAGCAATTTCCTTTGAAGAGGAGGAAAGTTGGCACTTAAGAAACAGATTAATTTCAAGGAGGCACGAGGATCTGAGCTTACCACGGTCTGTGCTTATCTCGAGAAGTCTGTTGACGTGCTTTCATGTCCGGGTTCGAATCCGGCCTGTCAGCGACGAGGCCGACCTCGGGGATTTGGAGGCACCGCCCCGGSCTCGCTGCACGTCCCGCGTCCGTCGGTGTCTGCGCGAGGCGCCGCGGCCGCCCCGCTCCCCGAGCCGGTTCCACGGGGGACCGAAGCTCTGCCCGAAGGACCATCRCACACCCTGTTGCCCCTCACGCTGCGCAGCTCCAGGGCAGCAGGTCGCGGCCATTCGAGGTGGCCGGCACTGGGCACAAAGCGGATACCTTCAGGACAGCAGTTATTTTGCCACAGCAYCCACCAGCACCAATTCCTGTGGCTTGTGACCCATGGCCCTGCTCGGGGAAGCCAATGCCACCTTGGAAACTGTCCCCTCGTGCTGACATCKGCTTGTGTGACACAGCGAGCGGTCGAACCCGCCGCCAGGGCCACCTCTCGCCCCTCTGGGCTCCCCTTCCACAGCCAGTGCCCGGCTACCCGCAGCRGGACGGGTGGGAGGGAAGAGGCCTCGTCCCGCCGCAGAGCCGCGAGCGCCGCTCGGCGCCGGAGGCAGCGGCTCCAACCGGCAGCGCCTCCACGACAGGAGCCACGCGGGCAGCACGAGAAGGCGGCTCACTCATTGTAGCCAAGATGTTTTAGGATCTCTAAGTTACCTCGGGGTTTTTTCCAGGCCYGGTGACATTTCTGGAGCTCGGGAAAGGGCATGGCGAGGAGCGCAGGTGCCCTCCCGCTG